TGTCTCCTAGGCCAGATCTTCTCCTAAACCGGCATAGCTCCAGTTGCATAGAAACTCCTATGTAGGGCAATGAAGGAAGGAGGGGTACAGGCATGCAGACAGTCCTGCTGCCAGGAAAAACAACAGCCATTGGGCGAACTTTAATTTCCTAACAACGCTTGCTCAGTGCTGTTGTTTGTTGTCTATATTGGGTCTGGGTCAGCGAAGCCAAATCATCAACATGACGTTTAGGCAGCTTGCATCTTCTAAAAGAGAACAGCAATGGCAGGCTCTATATTTCTCACAGGTGACAGCCAGGTGTACTTTAAAAATTGCTGTAGTTGCCTTAAACAATAAAGGTAGAATGGTAGCTAATAAAGAACAAAATTCAGGCCCTGTTCGACAAAAGTCTATTTTTCAAGGCGGGCCAAAAATTGTTTGCTGAAAAGTGACTGCAGCTGATTGGCGAGTGCCAGCTGTCAATATCTCTCATCCATGCTGTGTAGCGTGGATTGGGAAATCAAGTGTTTTTTCTTGTTCAGCCCATGGGGTTGAACGATGATGAACACGTGGTTTATGGCCAGCTTTATAGTCCAATGTTGGCTGCACAAATTTGATTAGTTATCAAATTTATACCAGTAAAATTTACAAACAATTGTGTGGTGCAAGGACCTACCTAATAAGCTAATCTAACAATATCCAGTCCGGTAGACCCTCAGACTTCATAGCTGTTAGTACATTTTTCTGATTTGATGGGCAAAACTAAAACATACCTATAAATAGTTTTAAAGGTTAGTGTTATGTCCATACAGTGGCCGATCTCTTATCTTCAGGGCATATTTTCCTTCCTCAGGCTAGCTGATATGTGTTTGCAACCTTAATGATGGGTATTACTAATTGTGTAACCTCAAAACTACCCAGTTATTCCTATGATGACTGATATGAGGACATCTTTTAAAACAGTTCATGCCACAAACATTGTCTAATTGGAAAACAAGTAAAAACCACTAATATGGTTATTTTGTTTTTTTATGGTCATCCTGGCAATTGTCTTCATTCAGATTTTTTTTTACCAACAAATTTACTTTTTATTGCGCTCTTAAAGCCCCAAAACATTTCATAACAAACCTGCTTTCATTAGTTATCTCAATGAGATTCTAAATCAAATTCCATTGAATACCCCTTGTGAATGTGCTGCCCATCATTCCACATTTTTGGCCCTTATGTTAGGATAATGTCTCCAGTGTGATGACACATTGCTACTTGAGGATTACGACAGCTGCAAGGCTTTGAAGGTCTCAAAACAGGGGTTTAAGAATGTTCAGAATCACTGTGCAGCCTGGCTACAAAGGTCTGAGGATTTTTGGGATCCAGCTTAAAGTAAACGTGTAGGTTTAGGTTTGCTACACATCAGTAAGGTGACTGTACTTATCTTCTATCATCACACTGCCTTAGGGAAACCCAGCTTCCTTTATGTTTCCAATTGTCTATGGCTCACCAAGCTCTTTTTTGACCCCCATGTGCAAGTGTCCGGGCATAACAGCATATATTGGACACATGATAAAAAGAGGTATTATCAGCGGTTACATTTACTGCAAATCAGAACAATCACAAGATCCAGAAATATAGTAGGCTACATTTATATGCAAATCACAACTTAATTGTAAAAGTCAAGCATGGCCATACTGTGTTCTATTGCTTATCCAGCCTTTCCCAACCCGGGTGCCATGGCACCCAGGTGTGCCTTCTGACTTTTTGAGGGGTGCCTCAAAATTTTGTGGTAGTGGAACTCTGATGTGAAGGGGAGAATGAAGACTGAGGTGAAGGGGACTCCTGATGTAAAGGGGAAACTCTGATGTGAAGGGGAATGAAGACTGCGGTGAAGGGGGCTCCTGATGTAAAGGGGGAACTCTGATGTGAAAGGGGAATGAAGACTGAGGTAAAGGGGGCTCCTGTTGTAAAGGGGGAACTCTGATGTGAAGGGGGAATGAAGACTGAGGTGAAGGGGGCTCCTGATGTAAAGGGGGAACTCTGATGTGAAAGGAGTGAACTCTGATATGAATGAGGGGCTTCTGATGCAAAGGGTGACCCTGATGTAAAGGGAGAGGGGAAATCTTGATGCGATGGGGAAACCCACTTTTCTGTGTGTTTTTGCGTGGGGTTACCCTTAAAATCTATGACATTTTAGGCTGGGGTGCGCTGAGATTTAGCATACTTTTAAAGGGTGCCGTGACTACAAAAATATTGAGAAAAACTGTCATAAGCTTCCCTGTTGTTCCTTTTATGTGATGGGCAACCTTACTGACCAAAAAGTAGGTTCAAGAGGTAAAAGGGGGCAGGCCAAGATTGGTTTTACAAGAACAGTCAAGGAAAGAACCTCAATTGCCTAAACATACTAATCCAGCCATTGAACATCTCATTCCGCTCCATCTGAATGATAAAACGTAGATAAGTACATAATGGGAAGGTCTGTGACAGCCAATACATTGCCCTTATCATTTGCACATGCATGGGTATCTTATCCTCTCTTGCCTGCAGGGGGTGACAAGGAACTATTAACCCTGGAGCAAATACAACCAGACCCTTCATAATAGGAACTGTATTCCTGTAGGAAAGCAAAGTGACCCACACAAGGTATATATATATATATATATACACTGAGTGGCCAGATAATTATGACCACCCCATCAGTACTTCGTTGGGCCACGAGATGACTCCACGAGATGACTACACGAGATGACTCCACGAGATGTTGAAAGGTAATGCGAGGAATCTGACAATATTACTAAGTGAAAAAGATACAGCCTTTCCTTTAATAAAATACTAATTAAAATACAATGCCACCATTACCAAGAATTATTAATCAGCCTCAGCTCATTTCTTTGTTTTGCATTCTTCCAGCAATAACTTCCTTTGCAGTGCCAGTGCTCTGCCTTCAGTCAAATAACATCTCAGAGCCACAAATGAAGTCAGTGCTGGAAGATTTCCCCCTGCCAAGTGCTGTCATTGCAGGTCTGAGCAGGGAGTAGATAGCACTCAGCAGAAGTCACTTGTGGGTGTCACTCTGATTGAGGCTTGAATGGGGAAGTATCTCCTCCCAGGGCCACCAACCCAACCTATATTATTTGTACTGGCTCAGAAGGAAAATGGCCTCCTGCACCTATCCCAGTCTTTTCCTGCTCACCCACATGATAAAATAATGCCTTTTTAAACTGAACTAAGCTGAATGGGCAAACATGGTCTAAATATAATAGGCATCTATTTTCTTACTTGAATATTGGTGTGCGTTGTGTATTTCTTCCAGATCTGTACAGTAATCCAATGTGAAACTTTACCTCTGTGCATGAGATAACTGTATGAAGACCGGTCACTGCTGCTCCCTCTCCTTGTGCAGGGTGACTGGTCTTGTATCCGCCCCTCCTGTAGTTTTCTGTGGGCAGTCTTTACTGGGTGGAGACTGCTGGGTCCTTCCCACAGCTCTGCTCTCTGCAGAGGTTATGTACAGCACAGTAATAATGTCACTGTGACTTTTATTCGGAAAGATCTGGGTTGGCAAAGGGGTTTAGCGCATATAAAGTAAATTTATATCCTTTGTGACTATTGAGGAATAGATATAAATGAACGTTTTTGTGCCTGGAGTTCAGTTTTTACGGCTGGTTCACACCATAGCATTGCACTAAATGCACAGGGTCCATGCATTTTGTGCACACTATTTAACAGTGAGCGGTACCCCAGGCTAGGTACGCTATTGTTTTGCATTTTTCTGACTGGAAAATCTTACTTCATTTTATATTAAAAAAACTAGATACTATTTCGGGGTACATTCCACCCTGTACTGTAACACAGCACAAGAATAATACATGGCAATACAGCACATTAACGCAAACAAATTACAATCGGTCAGTGGCATGATGTCTAAGGTGTAGCACAAGACAAGGGGCCTGGACCCTCCACGTTATTCATGACACCGCTTTAACCCTGTTCTGAATATGTGGTCCGCAGGATCCACTGCAAAGTACCTTGTGGCGCAATGTCCAATGTGCAGTGCCAGAGCAAAACCCTAGTTCCGCACGTCCTACATGGTTGCATTGCCTCATTCTCAATGGCACCCCAATGCATCGCCCGCTGGACAGTCGTTGTGCGGAGCAGTTCTGCAATAACGTACATTGCTATGCAGTGATAAAAAGAAGTGCATGCACGGTATTGCTGCAACGCATGCACACTGTGGTACCATCGAGAATGAATGATAACGCAATGCACCAGCACAGTGGCGTCACAAGGGGGGTGCAGCCCACAACGGTTGCACCATCAGAGGGGGTGACACCAAAATGACTGACAGTCACTCGGTCATGGACTGAGAACCTGACAGCTGCACACAAGAGGAGGTGACCCAGTGGCATACCTTAATCTCTCTGTGTCCATTACCGTGATGGCCACCGGCAGTCAAGTGCACGTGAAGCCATTATGTGCGTGCACAATGACATCACATACGTGCATTATGACGTCATGCACATGCGTGATTATATCCCAACGGATGACACCCGGTGGCAGCCGCACTGGGTGACACCCAGCCTGAAGACACCTCCGCACCAGCTTACAATAGCGTATGCTAAAGGCACAAATCCTGTGCACTTATCGCAACTCTATGCTGTCATTGGACCTAAATTAAAATGCCATATAAAAAAATCTGCTGTTTTCCAGGAAGCTATTGTCAGCACATAACTAAGTGTGCTGCTTCTTCTTCTGTGTGTATATATGTGTTCCATTCAGCCATGCCCCGATATAGAAGTATGAACATACTGAGTCCTGGAAGAGTTCATCATTACCCCCAAATGAACACTGTACACAGACAGGAACGACACCCCTCCCGCCAGGAAGCCCTGCGACTCCCGACCAATCAGGAGGCCGTATGCAAATGTACTCACACTCTGCAGGGTGCAACCCAAACACAGCTCTCAGTCAGATCGGAGACTTGCAGTACGGCTGGTAGTAGTGAGTGAGCGGCTCGTATTTTCTCTGCGTTAGCGATCTTCCTATGAACAGGATTCCAATGCAAGCTTCCTAACACGGGAGATCGGGCAACATGAAGTACAAGGTGAGATCGGATGTTCCCTGCAATCACTGGCTTCTGGAAGGATTGCAATTACTTTATATGTGACCCCAGCAGCTTGATTTTAGATGACAGGCAACTTGTATGGGAAGTCTTCCTAGCTGCTGTGATGTGTCTGAGCTTTACTATTCTCTATCAGGCTGAACTGTGCTTCACGATCTGCTTGCTGTGCTCCACTGGGGGTGATTTACTAAAGGAGTAGAGCATGTTCACTCTGCAAGGACATTTCCACTTTTGGCCTCATTTACACCAGGTGTTGGCACGTTTATGCATGTGCATTGACATGCAGTTTTGATGCGTCCTGCATGACACTCTGCGACGCACCGCAAAGGTACATAGACTCATTTACAAACATCAATTTTTTTAAATGCGTATGCGTTTGGGGAGCGTTTTAAAACATTCCCATTGCATATGGTGTTGATGAGCCCTTTAAAAGTGGATTTTCAGCTTGAATATGATGAAAATTCCCATACAATTTCCTTTAGGTCAACCAACAACTGTGTAGTACGAGGACTTGCCCGATTGGACAGATTTTGGTAGGTCCTCATATGACATAGATTGGGTAACTCTAAAGCTGATTGTACAGTCAGATGGTAACCTGCATGGTGACGTTTGCATGCAAGGTAGATGACAAATACAGTCATTTTGCTGGCATGTGATTGGATGATTGAAGTCATCACAGCTTCCCCAAATTCATTAAGCTTAGTGAAAATCCCCTTGCAAAGTAAACAAGCTCTACTCCTTTAGTAACCCCTTCCCCCCCCCCCTTGTCTTGG